GAGAAGGTTTTGCAAAGTTAACTGGATTTGTCACCTTCCTTGAAAGATCAGACGATCTGCCACTACTGGGTCTATATATATATATGAAAAATGATGGAAAGGGTGTCATGGGACAAGACCAGGAAAGGTGACTGACCGGTGAGTCTCAGAAAACAGCTCAGCCTACCAGCACATCCATAACAGTGTGCTCAAGTCCCAATTTCTATTATTTTTGCATATAGAAATATCACAACATATGTTTCATTGTCAAATGCCATCAATTTTATGAACCATATCCCCACAGCCATCCCATTCCTTCGTTTGGTTCCCGCTCTTACTTTCACTTGCATGAATGATTACAACATTGTCTACACTTTCCCCCATTCTACCAGATTCCTCTTCCCCCAAATCACTCTCATCAGTTTCACTGATTCCTTGTGGAGTCTCATGAACTTTTTTTCCTTAGATTTGTGGTTAAGCCCTCTACCACTCAGCCCTAATTGTCCCCCAACCTTAGGCCTCTGTTGATCTCAGTGAGTTTGTTGTTGTTGTTGTTGTTGTTGTTAGGTGCCATTGAGTTGGTACCGACTCATAGCAACCTTATGCACAACAGAACGAAACACTGCCCAAGCCTTGGCCAACCGCACAATCGTTGCTATGTTTGAGCCCACTGATGCTGCCACTGTGCCAATCCATCTCACTAGGGGTCTTCCTCTTTTTCTCCTACCTCCCACTTTACCAAACATGATAACCCTCTTTGCTATTGCCAGTCTGTTCTATTTATTATAGAACCCCTAGATCAATTACTTTCTGATTCCTCTTTTACATACACCATCATTCATGTATCTTTTTAGGCAGTATTCTTCAAGGTATGGGCCTTAGATGGCTCACAGGAAAAAAAATGATGTGAATAATTATGTACAAGGTTTACACTAGCTTAGTATTCACTGCGTAAGGAAGTGCTTAAAGCAGGATTTTTCAAATGGGTTCTGTGAAATGCTGGGGTTCCACTGAAGTCACTAGTGGTTTTGCAAGAGATTGATGCACACTGGCCACAGCTCCTGTAGCAATTTAGTCACGGGTCTTTCTGAGCTGCCATGGAGGCGCCATATTTACTGGAGTCCATCATCAGTTTATGAAGCAGGACAGGGTTGCACTAGGGACATCAGGAAGGGGGGCTACTGCAGGAGAAGCACTCGTCGGCAGTTCAAATCCACCAGCTACTCCCCAAGGCTTTCTGCTCCCTTAAAGATTTACAACTTTGGAAACACTATACATGGTCGCTATGAGTCCGAATGGACTTGATGTGGGTAGATGTGGGAGAAAGTTTCTACTTGTTTTAGAAGCATACGAACAAAAGCAGAAATTGTCTCCTTGCAATTGAAATGGAAAACTAATATGGACCTAAATAGTGCACAACAAAATAGTCATAACTTTCACTTAAATAAATACATTTGCTTATTTTCAGTTCCAAAATATCATTTAAAATGCACTTTAGGTCTATTAAAGAGATCACAAAGCCCTCATGTGTGTATAGTAAACTTGAAATTTTCTACTTGTGCCTTATATAAAATTCATCTTAGGCTATATTTTTATTGTATTGCTTTCACTTGTCATTTTAGTAACTTTACTATTGTCAGTACATCTTCATAATTAAAATAAGATTAGATTAATTAAACTCACAACCTAAATGTAAATTAAATCTAATAAGTCTATATATCACATTTTTGGCTTAAACCACTTATTTATCAAAACATGCATTATGTTTGCCTTTGTTGTTGTCGGTAAGTGCCGTAGAGTCGGTTCCGACCCATAGAAACCCTGTATAGGGTTTGTGAGGAGTGACTGGAGGGTTTGAACTGCTGACCTTGCTGTTCAAACCAATCTTGCGGTCCGGTGCATTATCCTGTAGAACCAGTTTTAATTTCATGAAAAAGTAAAGAAAAGGGTTAATTTCAAGAAAGACATTTTGTCTTTTTTTTTTTTTTTTTAAAGAACCATTGTTTAATAAGTCTTTTTTGTTTTGTTTAAATGTTGTTGTTTTTGTTAAGTACTGTGGGGTTGGTTCCGGTTCCGACTCATAGTGACCCTGCACAGGGTTTCCAAGGCTGTAAATCTTTAAGGGAGCAGAATGCCTCATCTTTCTCCCACGGAACCACTGGTAGCTTCGAACTGCTAACCTTGCAGTTGACAGCCCGACACGTAACCACTATGCTACCAGAGCTCCTTTGTTTAAACCGAGGGAAAAAAATATCTTATTCTTACACTTAACATATGTTGCTGTTAAGTACCAATGACTTGGTTTGGTCTTATAGCCACCGGTTACGAACCGGTTACGTGTTTATAAGGATGTACAACTTTGTGGGGGCAGAAAGCTTCATCTTTCTCCCACGAAGCAGCTGGTGGGCTCAAACTGCTGACCTTGTAGATCACAATCCAGTGCTTATCCTACAGTGTCTACCCTCTCCCACACTTAATATATTCTACAGGTCATATCTCCACAGCATTTTGTATACAGAAATTTGTGATAAGACCCCTAGATGTATTTGGGTAAGATGTAAAACAATTAAGGCAGGAATTTATAAAAAGGAAAAATTTCTCTAGTGATGGTATCCTTTGTGGAGGAAGGAAAACCAAATAAAAGACTAGGTTTAAAAGTGGGCCGAAGAAACAGATCCAGAGGAAATTATTACTCTTTAAGAGGGTGTTGGTTCTGATTAGATCACTACGTTTCAACTCCATGACCACACTGACACTATGAGTCTGAGCTCTAATACTGTCTATCCAGGCTTATCCTCCAGTGAGATGGACTGACACAGTCCAGCAGCAATGGACTCACATGTAACAGCACTTGTGAGTATGACTCAGGACCAGGCCGTGTTCGGTTCTGTTGTGCATAGCTTGGCAATGAGTCAGAACCAACTTGGTGGCATCTAACAACAACAAATCCCTGTGTTCCCTGAGATTTGAGAATGATTTTAAGTTTTCTTTCAATAACTGGCCATCACCTTAAATATTTCTGGTATTTAGCAATATCCCCATTAATCAAATCAATAATGTCAATCTCTCCAACACAATGCAAACCCAGAATAAAGCTTACTTAGCAAATCTGAGGAAAAAATGTAGGATTTTATGAAATCAATGAAAGTTTAATCCCATTTCAAGGGAGAAAAGAACTGGCAATTTGCTCCTATAAAGATTACAACCTAGTCCTGGAACACTTAGAGGGGCAGAAAATACATCTTCAAAGAAAGATCATCAGGAAAAACTCAAAATAAAAATGTCAGCATGACTGGCTACTACAAGAATAAGCAAGATGTTTGCTGGGAAGCCATCAGGCAAGCAATCAAGTTCTTCTAGACAAACCCACTCTAAAACCAAATCTTAAAGGGAACACATGAACAGGCAAGTAAACGTGCTGGTGATGACACTGGTCTACTGGTGAGTGGAAGGGGGTAAAGGCAGCAATGAATAAATGGGCTGAGTTCAACCAAAGTCCATAGACTCTCATTGACCTAGAGATGAGACAGAGAAGAGGAAGGGCTGGTTGGTCCAAAGGGTGGTGAGACCTGGGACACCTGAGTCTATGGACAGGGACATAGCCACAGAGGGCTAGAGCGGA